ATTTTTTTGGTCTTTAAATTTAATTATATAACTTATACCATTTTATTATTAAACAACTGTAATAAAATCATCATATTTTTCTTGATATTTACTTTTAAAAACTTAAAAAGACATTTTAGTTTCCTACAATGAATATTATTGATATTTTCATCTCATAATAGTATTTTTTGTTTCAATTTTTAATTTTTAATAATTATTTTATTATTTAAGTTCTATGTTCAATTTAAATTAATTTTTACTAGTATAAATTATATTATTTATACTAGTCAATATGTAATAGCTCAAAAATACTATCAAGTTAATTTTTTATGTTTGATATATTTAATTTAGTCTTCATATGTGTTTGAAACTATATAATAAGATTAAGAACATAATTTAGAGTCAAAAGAAAAAATGATGGATAATGATAAAAAAAAGTTAAAATAAGCATGAAGAGACACAAAAATAAATGGTAGGAGCCTTTTAAATAAAGTAACATAACAAAAAATAAATTTTTTTTATATGAAATGACATGTAAAAATAGTAACATTTTAAATAAAGTGATATAATAAAATATGACAATTTTTAAATGAAGTGACATACGGAAATATGAAGTATTTTACATACTGTCAGTATAAAATGTATTAGTTTTTAATTTGTATTTCGTATTTGCTAAGTAAATATTTGTTAAAGTTTTATTTTGATATAATGTTATTTCGTTTTGTGTTTTCGAAAAATGATTTCGATATGTGTGCATAACTCATTATAGAAATGAGTTGTTTTAAAAGCACATGCATTATATTATACTTTAATGTGGTCATAGATACCATTCTTTATTCGAGTTATGAAAAAACAGTCTGATCTGTTTGCCATAATTGTTTTGTATTCGGGGTTTGTCATTGTTTCAAGGTACTCATGTATGTCGTTTCGTGTTTAGGTACATGAGAAACCAGTAATAAGTATGTGTGTCTAAACATAATATATAATAATTTATTGACCTTCCATAATAATGATGAGGTATACAATGAAATAATTGTGAATATGTTTTAATATGTGGTTTTGATATGTGTGATTGATATGTAATTTTGATATGTGTGTATCACTCATTATGGAAATAAGTTATTACGAAAGTACATACATCATACTAGGCTTCAAGATAGCCATACATGACCATTATGTATTTGAGTGTATTATTAAAGTGATAAGTGTGTACCCATACATAACCATTCTGTATTCGAATGTATGAAAAAATAGTATAATCTGTGTACCCTAACTATTTCATGTCGGGGAGTAGCAGTGTTTCAAGGTACTTATGTATGTCATTATATGTTCGAGTACATAGGGAAACCAATGATAAGTATGTGTATCTAAGCATAGTATATGGTAACTGGTTAACCTGCCATAAATAATAATGAAATATACAATGAATTAATTGTGAATTTATTTTCTAATTTGTGCATTTGTTTTTTTATTCGTATATATATATTTTTTAAAAAAGTATATAGTATATGCTTTTGTTGCGTGAAAATAATTTACATATATTATGTTGTGATTTTATAATCTTACTTATTGATATATTTTATCTCAACTCTCTAACACTCTCAAAATACTAAAGATACTGCTGCGGAGTGAGCGATGATATGGAAAAATATTTTTGAAGCTAAACTTTGAGATTAAAGTTATTATTTTATGTTTTTATTTTGTAATATAAGAAAAAAACTTAGAATCTCATATATATATATTTATATTTTATATTTAAGAGATATAATACTTTTACGATTATGTTATAATTAATAAAATTAAATTATTTTACTTAAAATTGAATCCTTATAATTTAAGTAAATATATTCTAATTATTTTTTTTTTATAAAACACAATATGATTTGCCTATCCATAACACAATATGATTTGCCTCAAAAAGGTTAAATCCAATTTTAACTAATTCTAATTAATATATCATACTGTTCGTAATATAGTAAATATCACTTTTACTTTATTTTATTATGAAGTTTATAATATTATTTTTAAAAGAGAGAATATATATATATATATATATATATATATATGAATGGTAGGACAACTAAAATATAGAGTATTTATTACAATAAAGGTTGTGTAAGAATGAAGATTATACAATGAATTATAACAGTTTTTTTTCATTTTGTTTAACATATATTGTATTTAGTATTAAAAAAACAAGTTTTTCTCTTCAATTGAATATGGTATATAATAAATTATATTATTTGATTTTGTTTCTTTCTAATTATATTATTCTACGTTATTACTATCCCATAATATAAATCTCATAGAGTTTTTAATACTAAATATTATTTTAAAAATAAATAATAAAAAGACTAAATTAAATCTATATTTTTTATGTGACTAATTAAATTAATAAAATCTATCACATAATATTTTTTAATTAAAAAAATATAATAAATTCTTTAAAATTTAATTTTATAAAACTTTTAAAATCTTATCTTTTAGTGCGTTAAAAGAAACATAAAGACGTCCCTCGTTTTCTGCAAATAGGATAAAATTTTCGTGTAAAAACACAGGTTTTAATAAATATAACCAAACATCGTAATACCAGTTTCCAAGTTTTCTAACTTTCAACCAACTCATTAACAACATAATTCCGAGCAATGAACCCGTCCTCCCACCTCTTCTTCTCCTTCTCCGGAGACCCATAAATCCATACCTTCCCCTCCCACATTTCCACTGCCACTGTTCCAGACCTCCATCTAGAATCACTCTGCTCTGTAAGCTCCTCTCACTGTCTTATCATTTACTTCGTCTACAGAAATGAAGTTCTAATATTTATTGCATAGTGATGGGTTTTGCTGGTTCTGGGTAGTTCTATGAAAAAGCTTGCCTTTTGGGTAAGCAGCAGGGCTTGCTGGCATCTGGGTATCAATTTGCGGCGATGCTGAAACCCAGTAGTTCTTCTAATGGGGCCACCGGCCATGCAATTTTCTTTGAATTTCTAAATTTTTATCCTTTTGGTGGAGCTTTTTTAAAAATAATTTATCTCTGTCGGCTTCTTTAATGTGGGTTTTTCTTGTTTTAATAAATAGTTTATTGTTTAATGCTATGCACCTCTTTAACTGTTGGGCTACTATTAATAATTTGGTTGGTTTCTTCATTTCCAAGTTATGTTTTCAGTTTCTCCTAGTATACTAAAAGCTAATCGTCAACTTGTTTGGATTCATCAGAGCCTGAATAGTCAAGTATACCATAATTCCCATTAAATTTTGCTTTTTTTTTTCTTCTTTGGCTTTTGTGTCTATCTTCATCACAGCTTCTTTGCTTTCCATTGACTGGTTTATCGGGATACATAATGTATTTTGTCTGGACTTGGAAGTTTCATATATGAGTTGCCATGCGCTGAGTTTTTCTTTTTCAGGATTTCCACACAGAGAAAATGAATAACTTTGCAGTTAAGGTAGAGGAAGGGAGGGAAGGAAAAGATGGGAAGCTTTCTGTTGGTCCTGTCTACCGTAATCTACTCTCCAAAAATGCTTACCCGCCTCCTGATCCCGATATGTCTACAACATGGAATCTTTTCAGGTAATTGAGGAGATATATATATATATGTATATAAAGACAGAAACTTTATATGTGCAGAAATATAGAAGCAAAGATTCAAACTGTAACACCCCGTTTTTTTTTTCTTAACGGTGTACGATAAAGCACCCATACAACACAATACCGAAATCCATATTATTCCAACCATGCACAAGAGATATCCACCTTCCATGTTCCAAATCAATTGTACATACATCTCCACCTCTACAACACATAGTAATACAATATCAAACATTCCTAGATATTCAATATCCAGACTAAACCATCCTCTCAAACTACTTTAAAATCACAAACAAAACTTGTGCCCTATGGCACTACCGAC